GAACTTTCGTCCTACCGCAGTATTAGGGGTTATATCGCAAAATGGGATAATGGAACAAAGTAGCAAATTCGTATCGCCCGCAATCCGGCGTCCCCAGAAATCCTAACGTCCAAAAGCCCACGAAACCTTCAATCTTCACCCTTGCCGGCTTCTAGAGGAAGGGCTGCGAGAGCTTACGAAACTAGAAAACCGCGTTTCACTGCCTTGCTGCCAAACAGCATCTTATATACATATATATATATATACATATATAGATGCAAACAGAGAATGATTTCAAAAACAGCGCGGAATCAACGCTGGACAGCTACCATTTTGACTTAGCGCAGGTGTGCCTCAGTGAGCCCATCATTGGTGTTCAGCGGCAGTTGACCGCCATCCAGAATCTGCGAGGATAGAGTCGAAGTGTTTAGCTTGCTCACTTGGAAATCTTCTGTGTGCTGCTGGCACCGCTTCTTGCATCGCTGCACTGTGCTGCGAAAAATGGGCACTACTTTTGCTTGCTTCTGCATCAACACGCTCTTTCCAAGCCATCAGTCCCATAGCGCGTTCCTGGTTCCCAGGACGCAACGTCGGAAAATGGAGCAAGCTAAGATAAAGCCCGTTGAATGAGCCCACTGCTTGCTTTCAGCATGCAGTAGCTAGATAATGACTAACAGTATTGAACTTTAGACCCTTGAGCTGTCAGAGCAGTTTACACATTCCGGTTGAAGAAAAAACTAGAAGCAAGTCACAATCCATGTGCAATATGCAGTCAGGGGTGTATACGTTGGCCGTGCTACAGGCACTGCCAGGGTCCAAGCTAACTAAGCGATGGCATTTGCAGTCAGAAGCATGCCACCTTCGTCCATCAGTTCTGCCTCTGGAGGGGATGCCTGAGCACACCGCACGAAAGCTTCAAACAGCCGCCCCCCAACGCAATGTTCAATGGTTAGGTACGTTAGGTACAGCTCAGTTGCCATGCTGCACCGTCTTGCCTAACTTAATTACTGTACATAAATCCACTGCTTCTAGCCGCTTGCCCAGGTTCCACGGCGCGACGACACTGAAGCCACAGAATCAGAGCTGACGAGGCTATACCAGCTGCCATGAGAAGGCTGCCGGCCGGGCTTTGTGGTCTTCGCAGCTCTGCAGAAATGCCCGCATTGTCCAAGCTCCATAGACGCTGAGAAGCACCAGCGGAACAGACCTGGTCAATCTCTGCTTGGCTGCCGGTTTGGATCACCGGCGTCATGCCTTCAAACTCGGCAACTTGCGGGTTCAAATTGCTCATATCACTGAAGTCAAGGGCAAAAGTAGCCTTTCCGGACAGGAACACATCCTGCTGCTGCGGCGAGGGCGTAGTTGCATCGATGCCCGCGCAAAGCTTGTGCACTTTCCACTCTTCCAGCTTGCTTTGAACAAATGCGCTTAAGCGCTTCCACTGCGCAAGATTTTTCAGACCCGAGAAGATCATTTTGGAAGGTGGTGACGTCGGCTTAGGTGTGGTGGTGACCGCATGCGGCTGCTCACCGTCTTTGCAAGTAGGCTTTTGCCAGCCCCAAGGAAATTTGTCATCTGTCTGCTTTGGATGACATGAGCATTGCTCAATAGGTTGACTATCCATACATGGAGGCTGGCAAAATGCTATTGGTGTCATGCAATCCTGATCACCATCTTTCACACACTTCTTCATGAAAGGGCAGCAGTAAAATCCAGGTGCACACTGCTCGCCGTGGATGCACCGCTCACACTTGCCCAACTGGCCTTTCTCTATGCAGCTAGTCATGCACATGTGGTTTACGCAGGGTAGGTGGCTTGCAGGTTGTGGTTGTGCAACTGCAGCTGCCGGAACCGGACTTGCCGGTGCTGAATTGGGCGATGGCTTGGGCATCATTGGGGGACATTGTTTGACCGAAGCCGGCACCTCTGGCAAACCGTCAATGTTGCCTGCTCCAAGCTGGCAGCCTTTGCTACCGGGAGGGCCAACTGTGTTGGGCACTTCACAGCCTTCACCTGTGCCTCCAGCGGAAGCAGCATATCGGCAACTCCCAATGCGCAAGTCACCTCGCAAGCCAACATAGCAGGCCACTCGACGAGCATCCCTCCAAATTAGCGCAGTGTAGTGGTTCAGTTCACCCCCGCAGCCGGGTTGACTTCCGCTTCCTGGACAGGATTGCACCTCGCGATACCAATCCTCCACGCTGCATGCTGGTGGATCATCAATTGAGTTCCACTGGCGGGCATCCAAGTTTTCCGCCTGCTGCGGCCTTTCGATTGTGAAAAGGTGTGGATCATGAGGTCTGCCCGAGCCTGGCTTCGCATTCACCCAGGCCTGAAGATCTTCACCACTGGCACAATGCTGCAAAAGCTTCTCAACCCATTTCTTTGCATAAGGGAGGAGCTCCGGTCCCCAGGCCAAGCCAGGCACTCCATGGCAGGCTCTGTAGTAGTTGTGGGCATCCACCCACTGCTGGGGGTCATTGTGGGCTGGGTCAGCCTTGATTTCATTCAGGTTGAAATTCGCGGAACAATGGCCCTGGTCGCCCCAGGACCTTTCCTGCAGGTGCCGCGAGATGGTAGCATTGCCTTCGCTGGCAAAAACCTGGGTTGCTGTTAAGCAACTTAAAGTAAGTCACCATCACATGATAAATAATACCGTTTCCTTATCATAGTAACTTAATCTAAGTTCCTTAACAGCAACCCAGAAACAAGCCGGAAGATCTGAGAGACCAGGATGATCCCAGCCGCTCTCACAGTGGACATGGCCCAGTATGGCCCTAAGCTTTCCCGCTTGAAGATGTCTGCTACGCTACAGGCGGCCCAATTTTCGTTGACAAAAATGAATGGCTTGCCCTATCCCCCACTTTGAATTTTCAACGCTTCCCGCTTCCCCACCGGTTGCCGTCAAGCACGATTCTAAAGGGGTCTGCTCACAACGAATGCCGCAAAATGACTCCAGCGAGGGGATGGTCGACCCACCTCGATGCTCCACATGGCATCCGTAGGGTTTGGGACCTTCGGGGTGAGAACTCGCACCTGCGCCTGGCAAGCGTCAGCTAGGATTCTAGTGTAGACATGATTCTCAGATTATGGACAATACATGCATATGCAATACGTATGGACATATACGATTATGTGCGCAAAGCATGAGACCAACACTTAAACGGATGGAAAAGGAACTGCCTCGTACAGCACTCCTCGGAAGAGCTGTGTGCTGAGGCGGGCTACCATCTCGCCAGAAGAGGAGCTAATGACCTGTTCCAAACATGGATCCAAATATGCGTGACATTGCGTGACAACAAATGAAGAACCGGCCTCTGAGGTCACTGTCTCTGCTGTTCCACTTTGGATTATGTTGAATTGCTCAGCCTGGCAGGAGCATCATCCAGCGTTCGCCAACTCGCCGAGATACGCTTCACTGAGACCGACATGAAACCCCTCAGATTTAAATCAGCCAATCTACCTGGGGAAAGAGGTGATGAACATTCCAACAAGAAAATGCATCGGACCTGCAGGTCGTATGGAGGAGCCCGCAACCGCATCATGCTCCCGACCTGATTGCGGAGCTTATGCCAGCCGCGCTTGCCAAACACAAGCGAGGACCAATATCCTTGACCGCCACAACGGTAGACAACTTTTAATGCAATTATGATGCATGCTGCGATGAGACTTGATGAGAGACAGCCAATTGCAGTGGAGAAAGGAACCTAACACGATTAGATGTCTTCCTTCTCTCCACTAACGACTGCTGCCACTTTCTGACAGCATCACTGGAGAAGTCTATTGAAACATGTCTTGCAGATGTATGACTAGCGGACATAAAATTGTTGACCCAACCCGCACGGCTTGGCTCTGCGCGGCGGTGTTGATCGTGACTGTGAAAGGCATCTCTACAACCGCAGTCTCGCCCATGCGTACCTATCCGTTGACCACCAGAAACCCTGCTTGCGGGAAGTCCTTCACTTTCCTCATGCGTGTTGATTGCCAGGCCTCCCAAAGTGATGGCACGGGGTACAGCTCCGGCATGAGTTTGTACCTCACATGAATAGCGGACGAAGCTGCAAGGTCAATGACGCAAACAAAAAGGGGCTGGGCTCTGTAGCGCTTTAGGCTAGCATAATTGTAGTGAGCCTGCTGCTGTCGGGTGGTCCCAACTGCGATACACGCATTCAAGTCAACACACATGTCTTTTGTAGACTGACCTGGAGGTGCGCTTACATTATCAGGCGCTCACGTGATGCTCACACAACTTGGGTCTCAAAGGCGTGCGCCTACTTTCCAAGAAGGATGCATCAATGTATGGATGTTGCATGCAAGACAGTGTCTGAAAGAGAGTTTGAAGGTGGCGCACTCGCTGCTAATCCGCTTTCCAGTAACAGCGACCTCGACAGATGAGACAATATCTGGCCATCCCCTCAGCATCAACACATCAACTACTTTCGAAATGTCATGTTCAAGCTTCAGGTGAACTGACCTTTTTAATGGGGCGACGCATGCTGTAAAGCTCAGCAAGCTACTCTGCCAGGCAAGCGGAATCCTCCCCTGAAGTTGAGGGCTTCGTCCATCTGATCCTGGGCGCAAACATTGTCGTTGAAGAAGCATCGCTGTCCATTTTCGTCATTGCTTGCGGACCAACTCAGGAGTCGGCGCCGTTGTTCAGCTTGGTTACCAGATTGAAAAGGGTTGGGCCACCATTGAGCCCGAGCCTGAAGTCCGCAATGACTATGTCGACATTGACCTGAGCATCTAGAGCGTGGCCGACCATGCTTAGTCTTAGCCAGCTATCAATGGAAGACAGGCAATGTGAGAGCTGAATGCTATTTCCAGGAAAGGCTAGTTAGAAATGATGCAAAGCACCACAAGTACAGCATGGCAACTAAAAGAACCTTGACAAAAGAATCACCCATCCCCAACAAAAACCTCCCCGAGGCATGTAAGCCCTGTCTTGAGAGATCACTGCGCGCCCAGCCTCTGCATACATGGATGCGCGAATTCGGATTGTCTCAGCATTGGTTGCTATGACCTTAGCGGGCAAACAGGCTAAGGCCTACGTATTTGCAAAGAGTCCTTGCAAAACTCTCTCACTCGAAACATCCGTATCTGGCCTCATGGCCCAACGAAACTGCCGAAGCACCCGTAAAATCGAAGCCAGTTGGTTCTAGAGCCTCAGAGTTGCGGCTCCAGGCTTGGTGCTGTGAATCACCGGTTTCTTGATATCTGGCCTCCAAGCTGAGCTCGTCCGCATCGGAAACAGGCGTGTACGAGATGGCAATGGTTGACACCTCAGGACTCAGAAGCGCAAAGTCTGGAGACAAGGTGACGGACCCACGTCTGCAGCTGCCACTTCAGGGCGCAGCCGAATTTTCGGCCTTCTGCTGCCCGACCAGCATGATCCTTACTCCTGCAAGCTGTGGAACCTTGATGCACGGATTCACGTCATGTCTGAAAGAAGGTTTGATCGCCCTTTGCTTCAGCAGCATCGCAATTGCAATACTTGGCCAAGGACCACGTCCCAGCTCTTGATGGCCTCTGAGCAGGGTCACTGCTTTTCACAGCTTCAGGAGGCAGAAGCAGGATCATCAAAAGCGCTACGTTCCCGCCTCTGTGCTCATGATGGCACCATTCGAAGTGTGAGTGATGCTCCAATGGTTCAGGAAGGTCTTGGTGGGGCAGAATGCAAACTGACAACACGTCTGCATGCCGATGCTGTTGCAGCCCTGCTAAGCTTCTGACGTGTGGGGTCTTTGCAGGGTTTCGTGAAGTGAGACGGAACATCATCACGCGCAGCTCTGGGATGTTCTTGGGCTCCTGGACCTGGACATAAAAGGTTTGTCAAGCATGCCCTCGGCCGACAAAACATTATAGCGCGGTCCGTCATGGTGATCATGTTGTTGATGCAAGTGATCATGGAGTTGGGCAAGTAGAGGTAGGCATCCTGCGTGGATGCGTGGAGGCGTTTAGAATCAGTTTCCAGTACTTTGTGAGGGAATCAGCACTCTCTCAGAACCTCCAGTGGCTCCCACCGGAAGTCATCGCAGGTATCCTGTAGGCCCTTGGCAGGAATCGGGCCACAAGACTCATGCTGCACATTCTGAACAGCTTGCAAGGACATCCTCAACCCAAGGGCTTCACCGTCTTGAAGGTAAAACCTGTGGGACCTTCAATAGTGATGACCTGAACAGCACTCACGGTCACAGACAGTTACGACACACGAAGAATCTTCAGAGAGCCCTCAAACAAGCACTTTGGGATCGAGCATCTCCCGGCACCAGCTTGGTTGGGAGCTGAAACTGAACAAAGAGGCCGGGAATCTCAGAAAGCCTGCCAGGAAATATCTGTGAAGCCAATGAGTGCTACGAGTGATCAACTGTTCGCTGATGTTATCTGCGTCAAATCTATTCTCCATGACGTTCACCTAGTTCATCAAAAGATGCCCTGTCGAACCACTAGAAAAGCCGCTGAACCTCTCAGTGCACATCCAAGAGGTATTTAGGAGATTTAGACGCACAGCTTCATGGGTGGAAGTGAAGCCAATCTTGTTGCCACCGCACATCACTGCAGCACGCAAAGCTGCTAGGCTTGCACATCTGCTTAAAAATCTCAGCTCACCACCCGTTGCGATAGTTGACACCCGTGACAGGATCCTGGTCGGTACAGGAACCAAGGGGTGAGATGGGTTGAAACTGCAGGCATGCCAAACCGTCACACCGCCATGCACTCCTGATTGCGCACCACCCACTGCCGTGCTTTGTTGTACACTGGGTATCCAGGCCTTCACCAGTCGGTCAATGACCACATCACTATCAGTTGCTGCTGAGCTGTTGGCAATGAGATGGAATCCCGAAATGTTGGCAGAACCTCTGAGTACAGAAATTCAACACAAAGACGAGATTTCCTGCTGCCGAAAGACAGAGATTCTATGAAGCAAACTAAGCACGCTACGCCAGACGACCCAGGGCTGTCGAACGTGTCCAAATTCCAGACATTCCACACGGCTTCCTGCCAAGAATCGAGCAGCCATGGAGCTTCAGATGCAACTGCTGCCAGGCCGTTGGGGGCTTGAGTTGAGATGCGAAACTGATAAAAGGGGGACAGGCGGCGCACCTCGTATGGTGGAATCATCAGCGTAGGATTCCTGACCTTGGAGCAGTCTGCTTTTTGCTCCAACTCCTCGTGGTTACAGCTCCTCGTACTCGTAGCTTATCATAGCTTTACAGCTACATGCGGAGGACACTAGCATGCGGCCAGGTTACGAAGATGGTCAGCTGGTAGTCGCGGTTGGCAGTGATCTCCCTGATTTCAACACCGCTTCAGGAAACGCAGAACTCTAAAGATGCTGCGAAGTTGAGCAACTGGCCGCTCGGAAGCCAGGACGGTGGCTGTCAGCACGCGACCCGTGGCGGTATCCACATCCTTTGCTGATCACTGAAGGTGGATGAAGGTGTCCCAAGCTAAGGTCGCAGAGATACGCAGAGTTTGCACGCCATGGCTTGGCATCCCAGCGCAGCGGACATCTGCATCACCCCAGATCAGCGAAGGCCTCAACACAAGTAACTTTTCTCCACCGGCCAATTCTCTGATTAGAGTTGCACAGCAATGTGTTGAGTTGCACGCGGCCCAATCCAGTTTGCAGCAGGAGCTGTGAGAGGGTCCGCATTCCCAGTGCCTGACGCATGGGACGTCCTGGTTAGGACCGATAAGCTTGCAAGGAGCAAGTTCTTGCGGACTCATTTGACCCGACAGCCTTTGATTTCTTCACATGCCAGCGCATAAATCCATGATGGTGCTTGCAACTTGGACTCTCGTCTTGAAAGTCCATGCAAGCATCAATCATAATGTGTCCCGGCAAAGACTAGTCTGTAAGAATCATGTAAATCATTTGAATCAAGACCTCGCACTTTTCCGCGGAAACGGGTCTTGAATTCATGCTGGAAGATGTAACCGGCTCAGTGCTAGTCAGAAATAGACAAAGCCATTCTCTCAAAGTCCTGGGTGCGAGCCGGGTGGCTTTGATCCGTGTGTGCAAGCCTTGAAGACTTGGTGATCTTGGTGACGGGCTGGGTGCGATATGAAGCAAGCAAAGAGCGCACACCTTTGCAAGACTTGGACAGGCCAGTCCGGCATGTGTCCATCCTGAGATGTCGACTCCGGGAGCTCATCCTCTTGAGTTGCCTGCTAGGATGAGTTGACAGAGTATGCAAGGAATGAGCAGGCAGTACGGGCTCACACAGGAAAAGGACCTGGCAAATGAGAGCTACACAACAAGCAGCACCTCATGCCTCAATGAGGCAGCACAGGCCACACTCCAGGCTCTTCACATGTCTCCTTAGCACTGTACCATTCCGACACTGCTAAAAGGCTTTAAGGGCATTCGACCCAATTGCGGGCTGGCATCAGCACCATGCGGGTCACCTCATTGGGCGACTATGACATAAACTCAACTTCGAACTTCCAGCATCTTAGCTAGAAGCCATCTCCTCGTAGCCTCCTCCCCTACCTCCATTCGTGACCTCGTGGTTGCACAAACACAAACTGCTTCCTCGACACGCGTAATGAGAAATGCGTGCAAAAAAAACATTGCTCTGTGCTGGCTGCCTTCTCTCAGCAACACAGACCAGCATCAATGGATGCAAAGGCCGTGGGCACGTCGAACATTGACAAGTCACCATACTCACAAAGGCTTTCATGCAAAATGTGTACCGGATTGGGATGGGCTCCAATGGCTCTGGCCCACAAAACATGGGGTGCGGGGTGTAACGGGAACCATTTTGGCCGTAACGGGAACCATTTTTCCGGACTCGTAACGGGAACCAGCCGGGACCGTTGCAGATACCGCAGCAAAAACGTAACCGAAACCAGGCCGCCAAGCAGCCGAAACTGAAACCGGAACCGAAATCCCGAAGCCCGAATCTCGCAAAGTGGGGGACCGAAAATCGGTCCCTCTCCAGGACAACTTTTTTCCAACTTGCTTGTACATCATTCTACTCATTTTTCTGCTTGTACGCGGTTTAGGGTTTAGGGTTCTCGATCAAGGGGATTTATTCACTGTAGGGATAACAAAGGTTGCTAAATGCTTTTGGGGGTTTATGAGTAGCCTTACTACGATTCCTACCACTCCAAGGTATGATGGTAACTAGTACCTAAGCCCTGAAACCCTAAAACCCTAAAACCCTAAAACCCAAAACCCTAATTTCCAAGCCAGAGCTTTGGATCTTGACCCTCCAAGGGTCAAGGTTTTAGGGTCTAAGGTCAGGGTTTAGGGTTTCGGGGTCGGGATCAAGGGGACTTATTCATTATAGGGACAACATTTAACAGAGGTTGCTATATGCTTTTTAGGGGTGATAAGTACACTTACTAAATCCGCTTCACCTTCCAAGCACGGCAGAATGGCGAAACCCAGCCCAAGTAGGGACTACAATATGTTGGTCCCCGTGCTGTACAATTACAACTTCTAAACCCCAAAACTTGCATCCGAACACCCTACACCTTAAAACCTAAGCCCTGAAGTTCACATGTCTGCCCTTGCTTCAGAATTAGAATTTGAGGTTGAGAATTTCCACATTTGTACTTGGGGCTGTGGCTTGGTTTAAGGTTGGTAGGAAGCCAGAAATAATGAATGCATCTACAAGGGGGACCGAAAGTCGGTCCCCCCTTGGCAAAGTCCGAAGAAGAAAGTTGTAGCCCGTCTGAACACACGTCTGGGTTTTCCGAAGCCCCGGCTGTTCCAGGCCCCCGCAACCCTGTTACGGAAACCGGCCAGTTCCTGTTACGGACTTGGGGCCGGTTCCTGTTGCACTCCACTGTTGCGGACAATCGGTTCCTGTTGCTTCCCATCCTCACCAAACATGGGGCTTGGATGCAGAAAAAGCGTGGTAGGAGCTCATTTCGGTGCGAGGCCTGTTTTTCAGGGCCCAGTATAAAGGTGAGCGAATTGAAGTCCGAAACCATGCTGTTTTCCATTTGAACTATTGGGGTTACTATCATAAATTGGAAAACCCCGGGGTCGGCGCATCCAATGTGATCTCAAGGTGGTCATCGCGTTTGTAGCTGGTCGCCTCAGCCAGGGTCAGGGTTGCGAAAAAGATCGACCGAGCCCGCCAAGAAAGATCTGTCTGAGATGGTGTCCATCGATATCTTCTGGCCGATCAGCGTGGGCTTCTTGAGAGCAACTTTCTTGACAACCTCCAGGCGACAGCTAGTAGAAGTGGCTCTAATATCCTTTCAGATCAGGGCGCACCCACGGGCCCGTCTCGACAGAGAAGATAAGCTTCAGCTTCTTCTTTTGCTCCTCTCTGCATCTCTGCACACAACTCCAGTAAAGAAACCACATCAGAACGGTCCTCTAAGCTTGCAGCTAGGAAGCGACGCCACACCCGAGCCTCCCGAGACTTGGAAAAAGCCCAGCTTGACTCACCCTCTCCACATCTCTCCACATGCGCCTGCGGAGTCTCTGGTTCCAAAAGCCAGGGAGCAGCTGGATCGAGGGCAGCAGTAATGACGGTCTGACCACATCAGACTTGGGAGTTTGCTCACTACAGGTCAGGTCTGGCTCTATGGCCTGGTAGGGAGGCATAATGAAGTTCCATACGAACATGAAACGATTGTCTCCCCTTCGTCGAAATGCCTAAGATAGAAGCATCAACGTGTCAACATACAACACCTGGCATGCAGAGTGGATCACATGCTTTAGGCTCAAGAAGCAGTGGAAGAGTCTGTTTGAGCTCAAGGCTTGGCACGCAAAGTCAGGATGCTTCGCCTTGTGCACAGCTTTTGAGATCTGTTGAAGGTGCCGGCTGCAATATTCAGGCACACAAGGCCCTAACCGATTCAACGACGGGACCGTGGGGCCCGAGGAGGGAAAGGTCTACGTCCACCAGCTGTAACATTGCAGGGCCTGGCTCGTTCAGCTGAAACGTCACCGCCATGCACCAAATCTGCTTGTGCAGGAAGCAGGCTGACATAGTAAAGAAGCTGTACAAAGCCACTTGCCTGAGGGTACCTTTGACCTCAGGCACATCCAAAAATGACAGCTTACAACAGGTTTGGGAAGTTAGGGGAGATCATGCAGGCAAGCAGCCCGTCCAGGAAGTACATGTCTGATCGCAACTTGAAAGTTGACCTCACCACACACAAAGAAATCATCCGATTCCTACACGCTACCTACCAAGCTGAGGGCTCCACGCATCGTGAATGCTCCAGCTGTGCTCCCCAACACCTGTTACATGCGGTACTAAGATCCGCTGACCACATACTGCCCCGCTGCTGACACGAAGTCTTTGCCTTGCGGAAAGTCGGCCTTGCGCTTGTCAAATCCGGACCTCAGCAAAACGCGAGGACAACTGGCTTTTTTTTCTGGAAAATCCCCGGGATCGATCCTCAGAGACGGGTGCAGACAGTACGCAAATTCAGCTGAAGCCATTGAAGCAGTTGAAGCCGTGATTTTCAAAAGCCGGCGGTTGAATCCATTGCCGCCGTGAAGCCGCAAATCTGGATGAAATCGTTGAAGCCATGAATCTTGGCAGGAGAAGCTGTTGAAACCGTGCGAAGCCGTTAACTCCGTTCACGCCGTGCTGATGCCTTTTACGCCGCGCACGTCTTCGCGTCCTCGCTCCGAGATTCGCGTCTTCGGTCCAAAACGAACAGCTTGTCTTGACAGAATTGCTTCGGCAAACTTTGCATTTGTCTCGTCCTTCATTGATCATTTCCGAAAGTGTCCCCCGCATGTTTTAATTCTAATGTCTCTGGTTTCATAATACCATCTTACAAAACATGTACCAACGTGACTTGGTAGCCTGCCGCCTGCCAGGACGTGGCTGGGCAATGGACATCAGTGACAGGCTTGAAGTCGAAGTGATTACAACCCTGACGCCGTTGACGCCTTTTGAGGCCGTGATGACGACATTGCCGCCGTTGAAGCCATTGGCGCCCTTGAAGCCGTGCAAGTCTTCGCCTCTTCGTTTCGAGATTCGCGTCGTCGCGTGCTTTGCCTAAACTATCACGCACCGCTCTGGACAACAATGGCATCTCTATGGCCAGCTCTGGCAGTGAAGGACAGTTTGCCAGACACTTCTGCCGGGATGCACCCTGGGTGCTTTTTCCGAGTGGGGTTGTGTACAGACACGCCAAAAAGCACTTCCGAAGTACAGCCTCTGTTTCAGGACGTTTGTGGAAACTCTAAGGCATTGGCACCTCGCCGTGCATCTCCTCTTCCGAGTCTGTGATGGAATGGAACTCGGCCGCCTCTGCCTTGGTGTTAGCCACTCGCTTGCAAATGAGACTTGGCGGCTGTTGCGTAGAAGCACCTCGTGCTCATCCCCGTTATCATCCTCGATGATGGCATCACCAGGAAGCACCTGGAACAAGAGGATTTGTATGCTGGACATGCCATGATATGAAGGTTAGCTTCGAAGAAATCTCGGGCTCTTGCCATCGGTGGTATGGACGAGAGCGCCTCCCGGATTTCCACGGGCCGCAGAACGCTTCCTGTCCCGTTGAAAGACATCAAAGCGGCTTCGATGGCAGAGCTTGCAACCAGGTGCCCCGCTGCCAGCCCGGACAATTCGATTCAGAGTCTTTTTTGCACCTAGGCGAACACCTTGGATTTTGTTTCGTGCTGCACTGGCCTCTGGATACGCAGAAACAACACATTGCAAGTTAGGTCCGCACCCTTGGGGCTACTTTGTCCCCAATGTCTGAAAACGGAAGACACCCTCGTGTCCTGAGGAGATCTGCCGGGGGCGTTCCACAGCCAACAGCCTCAAGTGACTCAAGTCGATCTCGTGTCCTGGGCAACGTTCACGTCGAGACCCTGTCTGAGGCGCGCAAAGGATGCCTGCCGTAAACAAGAACCAATGCGCAATGGATTCCAAAAGCCGCCTATTGTGGCACTGAACCAAGCATGAACTCTTTTCTTCCGCCGCGGTCAGGTCTGCCCCATTCGAGGTCTTTTGCTGTAATCTCTTGTCGTCCACTTTGGATCTAGTCTGCCGCTTTTGAATCCTCCTCCTACGCTCTGTAGGGTCAGGATTCCCTCTGACAAGAGAGCGGACGTCCTGATAGTCACCTTGGAGCGGGCAATGCGCTTCAACTTTTCTGGAACACATTGAAAGTCTGAAGCGGCTGAGCACTGCGCGGTGGCATTCAAAGTCCAGCAGGCGACTGATTCCAGGAACATCCTGTAGGCACATAGTTCTGCAAAGTATTTGCTTGCCGGCCTAGGGTGCTCTCTCCTTGGCCGCTATGTGTGGGTTGTGCCCCACAACCTCCTCTGGCGTTGGTTCGACCACTTGAAAATACTTTGTCAAGATGGCCACCTCCGAGGTGCAATCGAAGCAGCAACACCTTGGCAAACAACAGGACTGCAAGTCGCAAAATGTGCAGATCATCGTTGTGGACAGAGATTATCTACAAGACACCGAAAGTAATCAGTGAAGTCGTGCTTGTATTTCGCAATGCGCCGGTGAGTGTTGAAGTAGAACATCTGCTGCTCATACTTCCTGACATTGCATGCGAAAAATGCGAAAGGCAGATAGCGCTACCTCATCAAAGGCTTCTGATCCCAGGCTCTGGTTGTCATAGGTGCGGAAGCACTTTTCAGGGTCCACACCTCAAGTGGGATTGCAACGGGATTGCAACAATCAAGGATGTTTGGGGAGGGGTGGAGGGGAATATTGCACGACACGGTCTATGAGACACTCGCCATCAAACTCCACGAACAGACGACTCTCCGTTGTGGTTGCTGGACCCCAAACCTCAGGAGACATGGGTCGATTACAGCCCTGATACGAGCTCCATGTCACAAGTCCTCTTGCTGACCAGCGGCTGGCAAGTGCAAAGACCCGTTGAGGTATGTTGTCGTCCCAGCATCTGTGCACAATCAGCAGAAGCCATTAGCTGTCAGCTTACTGTAAACAGTAAAACCCTGGCCAAGCTCAGTTAGGCACCCCAGGGCAGCCGGAACTTGAAGCACGATGCGAGAGGCTTCCTCATGTATCTTTGCTTGAAGTCTCACTCGCAAGCCAAAAGCAGTCCAGCAGGACCATGCGTCAGAGAAGCATTTTCAGGTGCCATCGTTCCTGCACGCGCATGTCTTCTTCAACTTCCTTTTGACCTTAGTTGTTGCAACGTTGCCGAAGTAGATTGTACTTCACCCCTGCATGCTTATTGTGTTTGCTTGTTACTTGGTACAGCTGTGAGGCTGGGATATTCATCTCCCTCATCCTTGCAATCACTCAGAACTGGCTCACTTGATGGTAAATTGCAACACGCCATCATGCAGAATTGTTGCTGCTGAAGTTCTGCATCCTTGCTTGTCCGAACGTCCGATATAAAGAGGATGCCTCAACTTTCCAGCATCCAGGACTAGGGTGGCCTCTCAAACACGATCAATGGACACAAATGCCCTGAGCCAGGCACCTTCCTGCTGCTCAAACTCTGCAGCAGTCTCATCTGTAAAATATTTCTGCTCACATTGAATCCTGGCAGGCAGCAGCCCACACTCCTATCCCGCTTTCCCATGATACCAATTCAACCCATGATCCGTGGTAGAACCCAAAGCACAATCCTGGGTAGGCCATTGACGGGCGGCAGCTCTTTGGCTGCCTGGAGCACTTTGAATGCACAGTTCAGACACAAGTATCGCTTCGAGCCGCCTTGTTCAAATGGTCCGAGAAAGGTCGGCAGTCAACTAGCACGAATCGCAACTTGGGGAACATCTTTGCAAGCAGCCTCCACAACTGACGCGACGTAGACACTGTAGACACTCCAGGCCATGAAATGAGACAAATGCGAGCAGTCCATGCAGCCATGGTTCCGTATGTGGGTACCGGGAGCAGCACCAGCATACCTTACGAGATCACAGACTAGACTGAGACTCCTGCCTGCAGGCTTCACAGCAAAGGATGCATCATCAGAAACGCTCACCGTGCAGCCACGCGTCACCACGCAGCTGCCCCTTGTGTAATATTGGGACAGAAACCTGCAGTCAAAGGTCGATGGAACAAGAACTGGATGACAGCTTGCTATGTCAAGCACCGAGGGGCTCTATCTCCGCAAGCATCAGCTTGCGCTGGCCCCAATGGAGCACAGTCTTGCCTCAGCACAGACACCAGCATTCAAAAACAACTACAGAAGCACAAGTCCAGCATCAAGCATGTATATGTATCTACACGGCACTCATACCGATCTTTGTTGGAAAGTCGAGGCTCTCTCCCTGGAGCGGCTTCGGTATGTGCGCTCTTCTGCAGTGTCATGATCGAGAATGCGAGAGAAGGCCAAGTCCTTCGCAATGCTGTAGCCGTCCTGCCGAGAGGTGAAAGGCGGGCGGGGAGAGGTGAAAGACAGCTGATTTTCTGATTTTGATTTTGATTGAAGCCTGTGAGCAGTCATGCTCCGCCTTATGAGGCAAGGCCAGGTGAGGAGGCTACTGCGCTGTTGGCAAGCAGCCCATCACTTTACATGTAACATGTCTGCACATCTCCCGAAAACAGCAAGACAAACAGGGCACAGAGCTAGGGGAATGTCACTGCTCCAGTCGCATTCGCAAGTCCAGCATGTGACATCTGACAAAATTAGCTCGGAGATTTCGCCACCCACTACGGCTGAAGGTTTGCTCTCTCGAAGTCCTGACTGCCCTGTAAGCAGTGCCGGTCAGCAGGAAGTTCCGCCTTCAAGCGAGCCTCCTCTTCTTGAATGTCTTGAAAGCTGCGCTTCATGGCTCGACAGCAACTCTCTGCAGCATGCCGAGATTGATGGATGTTGTGTGCAGTGTTGAGATCTTTGCCATGTACAGATGTCAACAGCTGCGCATGAGTTCTGGACAGTCTTCGCATCTCTGAGCCATTGTGGCTTACGATGCATAGGAAACAAGGGAGTCCAGCTAGTGCTGTCTCTTGCAGAACACAACTTATAAGCTAGCCTAGTACAAGAGCATGTCACAGAATGCTTGGCTGCCTGGCTAAGCGACTCCATCGCCGCAATGGTGGCCAGGACCTGGAGTTCGAGAACTGCCTGCTGCCCTCGAAGCAAAGATAAATATGGACACTGACCACATTTTACAGGGTCAGCGCTTCGGCTACCTTTGGCTCGCCAGCAGGACACTGAACTCATGTTAGATAAAGCATGTGAGCGAGTGAGCGAATCCTATCCTGGAAAAACACACCAAAACGCCCAAGGCCTTTTGCTAACTTGCACCAGGCAAAATCGTGTATTTGCTTCCCTTTGACTGAGATGGGATCTGGCTGACTGTCCGATCCGAGCGTCAAGCTTCCTATGAAGCACGGGCTACTGCACCCATATGAGGCTGACCTCGTACTGGTAAAACTGCAGAATCAACTCCCAATTTATTTTTAGAACGCCGCTACTGCTACAATTACGACTATTAAGACGACTACAACAACGACGGCAGCAGCGACCATCATAATGACGATGATTACGATGATGGCGACGGCGAGGACTCTACTAGTACTATCACCACCACCACCGCACCACACCACCACCACCACCACCACCACCACCACCACCACCACCACCACCACCACCACCACCACTTGTTCTGTTTCTTCTATATCTTCTTGTTCCTCTAGTTATTCTGCCTACCGGTAGGTCCGTAGGTATGCCTCTTCTCATTCTCCTGCTACCCCGCACCGTGAAAGTCATTGGCGCAGTATTGACGGAACTTGAGCACTAACTCGCCCAGCTAAGGATCTTCAAGTTCATGTCTTGCAGGGGAAGGTCCCTGTTCTGAATATGAAATGAAAATCATCGTCATGAAAACTTACTTCAACAGCTCAATGTCCAAACACACACCTGAAAGCCCTGATAGCAACTCAATATGACGAGACTGAGACGGCGGCTGTTGCCAAGGCCACACAGCGTCTATCAGTGAGCGGCACCACACCTATCATGACGCGCGCTGATGGCCCTCATCATTGCAGCTCTCGACATTCCAGATTCAGGACTCCTTGCATACTGTCACATCAACACTAACGGGAGCATCAAGGTCCTTTCTCTTGACCGTGATTATATATATATACATAGATATGTACACTTTCCCTAACCAGTATGCCACACCTTCCGCTGCAGCAGCATCCAGGTCACGAGCTTGTGCCATCTCCTGCAGGGACGTATCCTTTATCGATCTCTGGGGCCCCAAGCAGCGAGCTTCCCCTGCCGGGGCTGTGGGACGAACAAGCCAGTCCTCGCTAAGACTTCGCTTCTGCGACCTCGGCGTTGCACCCGCGCAACGAAACAAGCACATGGCTCACAACTCTGATTGGTCATGTGAATCTCTCTTCTTCAAAACTTTGTCCAAAAACACGGGCTGGGCGGTTGGAGTTGTGGTCTAGTTGCTAAGCCCGGCAGCGAAGGCCTTAGAACTGCCTTTTCGTGCCTCCACATGGCTAGCAAGGACAAATTCTTATGTGGGCAAATGAGCCCCGTATTAAGAAGAACACAGCACGAATACCCAACCCAAACGAACGAAATGACTTTCTTGAACACACAACGAGCGAACTAAAAAAAACTGAACCCTCAAGCAGTGCAAACACAGAAATACATAGACCTCGAGAACTCCAAAGTTCCATGAAACCAAAAAGGCCAAAGTAGCTCTACACCTCGAAATCATATATCCTCATCATTGAACACCCTAACTAGTCACTCCGGCCTCATTTTCCATCTGCGCTCTGTACTGAGTACGGAGAGCTGGCTAGGCCCCTACAGCCGCAGCCCTCGTGCAAGCTTGCATTAGAAGATCCCGTTCTTCCCGTCACTACTGCTCTCCGCTCAAATCATGACTGAAAAGAAGAAACCACGCAGAGGTTGGAACTCGAGCTTTGTGCCAGCGGATGGCCTTTTCCAGCAGTGCAGGAAAAACAGAAGAAACTTGTTGGACTTTCAAGCGGACGTGTGGAAGCTGTTTTGTGAGGAACGTGGCCGCCTCCACTTCTTGAAGATATATTTCCGTCACTCTGGCGCTAAGCCATCTTCCTCGCCTTCGTACCAAATCAGGGTTTTCACTCTGCTGCAGCAACCACGTGGCACCACCAGGTCGAAATGACCCCAACTCCAGGGCTTTCTTGTCACCACTGCTAGACTCCGGCAGACCAAGTGCGCTACAGACTTTACGAAAACGTGACCTGAGCGTCTGACCAGAAAGAGGCCACAAACGTGATCTCGGATCAAGTTGTCCAAAGGCAAGGACCAGAATCTCGATCAGGTCCGGCAAATCCACCTTAGCAGCCTGGTGTTTTGCGGCTCTGCGTCGCGTCTTTGGCTCCTCGATCCTGAGGAGGGCAAACTGCTGCGAAAAGAGTACATCTTGAGGTAGAACAAGGTGGCCACGAGTCGCCATCAGCACCTCTCCAGGCCTGCAGAGTCCACCCCACATCAGAGCGAAAAGTCCAGCTTCACGTGTCCATCCCCAAAGGAGACAGGTAGCGAGCATTGCAATCAGCACTAAAGCAGGAAGCGCCAGGTGATGCACATGAGGTTCAACAGCCAACCAGTTATACGCAAGGTCCCAGGCGCCAATCAGCTGGCGCCTAAGAATCGGCCTGGACGCAGCAATAGCGTTTATCAGCTCCTAAAAATGGCCATATGGCCGGCCGTCTCTGAACAGCTTCTGCCCAAACATGACCAACAGTTCGTTGACCCTTTCAGCGTCAACACCAGCGCTGGACGTAACGTCTTCCAAAGTCCACTCGCTATACGCACGCAGCCATCTCTCAAAGTCAGCGAGCCTGACCCTTCGGTGTTGATCAGTACGGGGTAAAGCGGAAGCAGCATCGGCGCCATGGCTCAGGATCAACAGGAGCAGCCCTAGCTTAATCGGGGACAACCACAAAGGGAGGGAAACCCACCAACAAACCCCAAACCCTTTACTGTGGTGGCAGGCGAGCAGGCGGCGCAGAGACTGAAGTCCAAGGCAAGCAAGGAGGATGGCGAAAGTGAGGATGGTAATCCAGGCGAAAGTCCACACACTCAAAGTCCAAAGGCTTACTTGATAGGAGACTATACAAGAAAAGGGCAAACCTGATGGGAAAAGGCAGGCAGCCCGGCGAAACCAAGACAAAATGTCTTCATGATGCTC